TAATAACCTATCATCCTTACGTGAAGTTGAATATAGAAATCTTTGCCCTAAGAAGCAGATGATGCACTAGTTCATGAAAAATCATCACCAATGTGATTTACCCACCGAGGCCTTCAAGCAATTATAAGAAAAAAATTCAACACGTCAAACAAGGACAAGATGAATTTAGATAATAGGAGAATACGAATTAGATGAAGAAATTGGCTTTAGTGCCACTTATACGAATCTAATCTGCAGATCAAATCGTAAATTCTGATAGAGGAGAGGAGTCCACGGCGGCGGTGGTTTCAGGCGAAACGGTGGGGCCGGAGGCGACTCGCGACGGGAGCGAGCTCCGCAACCTGGAGATCGATCTGTTTTTTCTGAGGCGCTGGAATCCAGATCGATCGGCAGAGACGGCAGTGGCCACCGAGCCTGGCGGCGTGCGTGCTATATTGGGCCAGGTGAGGCTGCTGGGCCGGACTGGACTGGGTCAGTTTGCTTTTTCACTGCAACCTTTCTTTTCTTTTATGGGCTGTAACTAGTATATAACATGGTTTGGCCCAACACTGTAGCTCCGCCCCTGCATAGTCATAGATGCGGCTGCTTCCATTGGCATCCGAAATAAAGGCTCGCCGGACCAGCGAGCCGCCGCGGCGCCTTGAGAGGCCGTTGACGTGCCTTCGCTTCGAGGAGCTGCCTCCTCGCCGGGATGGGCCGTGGCTGTGGTGCATCGACTTGACGCTGTGGATGACGCTTCCGCCGCGCTGGACATGTGGGCAATGGAGCTGTTCCGTCGCTGATGCAGACGATCAGCCCACTCTGCCGCCGGTACCTGGGCAACACCATCGTTGACTGAAGCATTGCCTTTTTGCTAGCTTTGGAAGGTCACCAACTCACGCTAGGGAAATAGGCATCGTCCTAGCCCAAACAAAGTTTTGTTTTGCTGTAAAACCCCGTTTACAGAAAACTCATCGCTAATTCTCTGTATCCAAACAAACCACTAATAGTAGGGACGTAAAATAACCATGATTGGACATTAGGGAGGAAGGGAGGGACCACTAATTAATGAAAATCCGGGGATTAGCGGGAGAGGGCTCCGTATAAAATCCTAACCACCCCGAGCGTAAGTTTAGGTTTTTCGGTGTGAAAAATCGTAGGAAAGGGTTTCTTTCCTAGGATGTCGACGGGAATATCACAAGGAAATCTTGAGAAACACGGATCTCATCATAGCCCATGCATATAATACACTCAAGAACGGTATACACGTCCCATACCAACATCGTATCCACCATCGATCGCCATGACAGGAGCCGCCGCCACCGAGCTGATTCTCCCGGCCCTGCGCGGCGCCTACCAGCGCGCCGGGCACTCCTTCTCCTCCTCCTCCGTCCGCGCGCGGCCGGTGACCGGGACGCACCTCTTCCAGATCGACGGCTACAAGCTCGTGCACAGGATGGTCGACGGCTCCTCCATCAAGTCCCGCAAGTTCCGCGTCGGCGGCATCGACTGGCAGGCCGCCTACCACCCCCACGCCCGCGGCCTCTGCGTCGGCGCTGGCCTCCACCTCGCCGGGACCAACAACTCCGGCAAGAACTCCACCGCCATGTGCCAGGTGAGCATCCTCGACCGCGCGGGGGTGCCGGCGTTCAGCCGCCTCATCGAGCCGCGCGACTTTCACGGGATGATCTACCCTGACCGGTCGTCCTGGAGCGTCGACGTGCACGACTTCGTCAAAAGGGAGGAGCTCCTGAAGTGGGCGGAGGAGCACGTCGACGACGACCGCCTCCGCCTCCGCTATGATGTCCTCGTCCTCCGGATGCGATCAGAGTCTCCCGTCCGGGGCTACTTGAAGGACTTTTGGGAGAGACTTAAGAACTAAATCTTCTTTTCTAGTTGTAATATTCGGTGAGGATAATGCAAGACGCAAGAACAAGAACGTATAGTAGCAGTAGTAATATTTTGTGAGGATCATATGATTTTGGTGCATTTCAGTTCTTTTTCATAAGTACTGCCTCCGTTCCTAAATATAAGCTTTTTTAGTGGTTTCAAATGAACTATAGCATACAAATGTATATAAACATATTTTAAAGTGTAAATTCACTCATTTTGCTTCATATGTAGTTCCTTGTTAAAAAGACTTATACTCCCTCCGTCCGGAAATATTTGTCGGACAAATGGATGTATCTAGATGTATTTTAGTTGTAGATACATCTATTTTTATCCATTTTTCCGACAAGTATTTTGGGATGGAGGGAGTACGTGATTAGATAGTGCAAGTGCGCTAAAGTTTTTCTTTTTGTTGCACGCATTGTTTGTAGAAAAAAAATCTCTTCTATGAATATCCAATTTTTTGCACCTAATACTCCATAGATAGTGGCCTCTCCTCCGGCAGGGAGATAGTGGTCTCTCCTCCGGCAGTGGCCCGAGGCGGCGGGCGGTGGAGTCGATGGTTTCCTTCACGCGGTCTGGATCTTCATGTTCACGGCTTTTGCTGTCGCCGGGTGGCTTCGGCCCTTCCGTTCTAGCTGTGCAAGCTCTCCGGCTGCTTGATCGCAGTTTTCTTGCTGCCTTATTCTTTGTAGTGAATTTGGCATGTATTTTTCAGTTTTTGGTCAAGTCTTTGCCTTTGTAATTCAGCACCATTGTATCCTAGCCGGTTGATGGCTTCATTAATTTGAAGTCGGGCCTTTGTGCCTTTTCTCTAAAAAAAATACTCCATAGATAGTTTGAATTGGATAGCAGCAATAATCAATTTTAGCGTGAATTGTTTGGAGAGGAAGTTTGCCCTTTTTAATGGATTCAGCACGTGCAATTTCTTTTCCTCTGAGACAATCCGCAAATTTTACTTTTACTCCCCTTATATCCGTTTGTTTAGTTAATTTAATGGCTTTTTTATTGCCTTTTGAAATGTTTGTCGGCATCCACTATATATAACTCTGAAAACACGAAGAGTAGAGAACCAAAACTATTTCAACCATTACGCCTCCATCCAATCCTCTAGGCCCCCATGTTCGACGATCATTATTACTATATGGCCATTATTACTATATGGCATGTGATTTTCCTCTTGATAGGTTTGAACATTGTAGTAGGGAAGTAAATAAGGTTGCTCATGAACTCGTTAGGTTAGCAAAATTTGTTGTGACAAGGAAGAGAACCTTATGGATGATATTGTACCTTTGCCTATTCACGATGTTTAGCGCTAAGCATATATGTAACCCAATTCCAGTAATGACTCTCATGCATCTGTTTAAAAAAACTCCCATGCACCCTTCTTCTCGTGACCGGTGCACACTGGCATTGCCCCTCACGCATCTACATGCACATGCCTTGCACCAGTGCATCCTGGCATTGCCCCCTCGCCCCTCCTGGAGGGAGGATCCATGGCCTCCATTCGATGCAGGCATGGATGTCACGGCATAAGTGGGACTCGCTACCTCCCTTCATGGGCTTGCTCGTTGCTTTCTCTCTTCTCTTGAAAAAGTTGTGCAGAGACAAACTCCTGTGCCCGAGCATGAATTACCTTGATAACTTGAGCATACTAACCCCAAGTACCATCTTTCAGGCTGGTTATGATAGTTAGGCATCACTGTTTCTCCTCATTATTGCTAGATGTCGATCACTATCCAAAGACAGTGCTTCATAATAGAGGGAGCTAAGTACACCCCATCAGCCCCTCGAGCATATGGGGTAAGTGTCCTCTCCCATTGATGGTGGATTCCCCAATTCTTACCCTACCACTCCACCTCGGCCTGCAAATTTCCTTCCTAAAAATTTGTATATGTACCTTTTTGTGCCAAATTTTGAGAGCCTTATTAAGCAAATGTACTCCTGGGCCAGTCAGCCATCTAACTGCTGATCAGGAAATGAGGTTCAAAGTTCAGCCAACTCTCAATAAACATCAGTGCAAGCACACTTAGCACAAATTTGGCCATGAGATTAGCTATCCTCAAGAGTCAAGATCACATGTGTGAAAACCTCGAGTTTTGCAAAGATAACTCCATCTCGTAACGGCACAACCATTGAATCTATCACCGTTTCATTGGGTTTGCACCATACATCGAACAACGATGATGGCGAAGGGGCAATACCTCCTTACTGATTTACGAACTGATTGTAGCATCATAGCTGATCTTGACTCATCCTTGCTCCTGAGGTCTCCAGCCACAGCCCACAGAATTGTTGTATAAGTGCTCGTGTGTTCTTCCTAGTGAGTCCATCTATTTCTCTAGTACCAGGTAGGGCACATGACCGATATAATCTTAGCCTGCCCGTGAAACAATTGTGAGAAAGCATATTCCCAGTGACCATGTATCTGGATGTGACCTAGGAAGACAGAAATCAAACCAAACTTCAGCTTGATCACAGAAGCTCCGACAGAAAGTTTTTTGCCTCCATAGTCAACGACGACGTCTTCTCACACTGAATGAACATCACCGAAAAGTTTGAAATAAATTCAGAAAAATGCGAGCACCAATGCCAAAAGACTTGAACCCTCATGGGATGCTTTCACGACAAAAAACATAACCAGCGTCTCTCTGACACCCTTTTTTTAGGGCTCCCTGACACCCAAGTTTGAGCCTCTACCTCGTACATTGCCGGACACGTAGGCATCGGAGGTGGATGGACGGACGGACAGAGCAGCAGTTCCTTTCTATCCCTTGCGTGGGCTCCAGGGGCCAGGGCGCGCGGTGGCCTGTCGCCCTCACGATCCGGCCCGGCCCGGCCCTGGTAGGTACAGCCGTTGCGAGCGTAGGGGAATCCTCGGCCCTCGGCACCCTATCCGTGGGCCGATAAGGCTTGGGCGGAGGCGGCCGGCCATACAAAGCCACCGTGGCCGCACGGGTCGCTCTCGCTGCCCCCTTTCCCTCAGGCCTCCCGTGCGCCTACCCTCCTCCTGGTCCTGGTTGGTGTGGTGGCTGCTGCGCGCATCATCAGACGAGGAGCCTCCCTCGCCCCAGCCACCAACCACATCACAGCGCGCGACGCAGAGAGAGATTTGATTCAGAGACAAGAGAATGGCGGCGCCGTCGTCCCTCGCCTCCTCCCGCCTCGCCGCCGCCGCCCCGGCGCCGCAGCACCACCACCAGAACCACCAGCTCCGCCTCGGCTGCTCCCGCCGCCGCGCGCAGCGCCTCGTCGCCATGGCCGGATCCGGCAAGGTACCGCCGCGCGCCCAATCCCCGTCCCCTTCCTCCCGCTACCCGTGATATTTTCCCCGGTGAAGGTTATTATTGCTCGCGCCTGATTCGTCCCTCCTCTGATGTCGTTTTGCAGTTCTTCGTCGGAGGCAACTGGAAGTGCGTAAGTACCCGCCGCTCCCTTCACGCCCCACCGGCTTTGCGCGCACGGGTTTGACGCGTCAGCGCCGCGCCGATGGGGAATCTCGAGTACGGCGCTGGCGGTGGCGGTGGCGGTGGCGGTGGAGATTCCCCTTGCGTACCGCGTGACGTTTTTTAATCCTCGCGGCGGCATTGTGGTTGTCGCCTTGGGGGATTTCGTTTGTCCCTATCCGTTCATGCAGGCATCGTGCTATACACCGTACTGGGGCCATCTTCTAGGATTAGAGTTGTTTTTCGTGCCGTGCCGTAGTTTTGCAACTTCCTTCTTTCATGTCCCTTATAACCTTCATCAGATTCCAAAAGACGTCGAGATTTGAGGGGCATTTGATGCAAGACTTGAGTAACAGAGGAATGTTGCTAGTTATTATGTCACCGTGTTGTTTTTAATCATGAGATAAGAGAGGCCATGGGTTAAGGCATTCAGCAGGGGGCAGCCATCACTGTAAGGGGTTGCAGCAGCTAGGGTGTTGTTCGTTGCCATGTGAATGTATCCAGGTGGCCGCGGGTACATGATTGGGGGGAGCCTTCCTATGCTTATTATGTCTCTGATTTTGCTTCATATAATGTTTCGGTCAGGTATCTTGGAATTTTTTGGATTAATATCTGATTTCTCTTCTTCTCCATGACTCTAGAATGGAACAAAGGAATCCATTACCAAGCTTGTCTCTGATTTGAATGCTGCCACACTCGAAAGCGATGTAGGTAAGCTCATTTGCTTCTTCTACGTGTATCCTAAGCTTCCTTTCGTTATGACCTGTGCAATAGGCATGCGTGTTTAATTGGTATACATCATGTCAATGGTGCCTGTTTCCATTTAGTATGGACATTTTCCTGAATATATTGTATACCTTCTACCAGTGCTATCACCAGAAGTCTAGACCCCATATTAGCCCAACCTGTTTGCTTATCCTTTTTGAAGCTCAAAGCTGATATTTACTTTTCAGCCAGTCTTGATCCCCTTGTCCAGCAAAAAAATTAATTCCATATGGCATATATGACAGCATACACCATGTATGAGCATCAGTGTCATGGAAGCACTTCTCCTGGTTGTTAGTTGGTTACCAAGTTGGCCAAAAGGAAGGCATAGATAGCATATTAGCTTCTACTACATGCTCCACCGTAGCAATATGCATGATTGTTTATTATCATCTGGGAATTTTACACCGTGGTTCCCAAATTACCACCAAAAGGTAAATTTTCATCGTGGAAGACACAAGTAGTTTGCTTGCACCAATTTGGTTACTACATTTATTAGACTATTGTTATGAAGAATAGCGAGTTTCAGATTACTATAGCTGCTCACTTCTGATGCTAATGTGTTCCATCTTGTAAACATGATTATGTTTTATTTTAAGATATTTAGCTGCCTGTCTCAATAACTCAGCAATATGTTAATATATGGAGCTGTGGACATGGTGCAGATGTTGTCGTAGCACCGCCATTCATCTATATCGACCAGGTGAAGAGTTCACTAACTGACCGTATTGAGGTGTCTGCTCAAAACACATGGATTGGAAAAGGAGGAGCTTTCACTGGAGAGATCAGGTTGGATACTGCAAGTTAAACTTGTCGACTTTGTCTTTTCCTGGTACACAGGTCGCAAATTCTTCTGTCACACTGATGACCAAAAAAGCTTTTGCTTTATTGGAATGTACCGAGTAATGAGGGTTACAAAATGTTGTTTCTTATTTTTTTTGTTCCTTTTGGGCTTTCATTTCTGAATTTTATTTTCTCACTGGAAAACTCCAGTGCGGAGCAGTTGGTGGACATTGGCTGCCAATGGGTTATTCTTGGTCACTCTGAGCGTAGACATGTTATCGGTGAAGATGATCAGGTAGTTGCAGATGCTGCTGAATTTCTACTGATCTTTCTTGTCCATTTGAGATGTATAGTTGCTGCTGTCATGCAGTAATTTTGTTTGGGATTGCGATCTAAAAAGTTTGCCCAATGCAGTTTATTGGGAAGAAGGCTGCATATGCCTTGAGTCAAAATCTTAAGGTTATGGCATGCATAGGAGAACTGTTGGAAGAGAGGGAAGCTGGGAAAACTTTTGATGTCTGTTTTAAGCAGATGAAGGCTTTTGCAGGTGAAATTTCGTCATCTTTGGTAGTTTAGTGATTGGCCTGAACAGCATTGATTTATCTGCAAAATGTGTGCTTTCAGATAATATAACAGACTGGAAAAATGTTGTTATTGCCTACGAGCCTGTGTGGGCTATTGGAACCGGAAAGGTTGCTTCTCCAGAGCAAGCTCAAGAAGTTCATGCCGCTGTCCGTGATTGGTTAAAAACCAATGTATCAGCTGATGTTGCTTCTACCGTTAGAATTATCTACGGAGGTTTGTTTCTTTTCTTGGTCTTATTGGCACGTCCATATTAAACTGATGACTGGAAGATGAACTTATGAACCATAAATTTAGTATGACAATGTGACTCGTAAATATCCTCATAGCCTCCTAGCAAAGCTAGTACCCCAATACTTTGGGTTTGGTTAACATTACTCCTAAATCCTATGATATGACGCTTCCATTGCAGGTTCCGTAAATGCAGCAAACTGTGCTGAGCTAGCAAAGAAGGAAGATATCGATGGCTTCCTTGTTGGCGGTGCCTCGTTGAAGGTATGAGAAATTGACATGGATTTTTATTCAGACGAAAGAGATGAACTTGTAGAAGACTATGCCATGTGTTGTCACTTGTCGTGTATTTCTGCTTTTATAATCTCAAATTTCACAAGGAAAATATTTGGGTGTGTTGCAGGGTCCGGACTTTGCCACCATCTGCAACTCAGTGACGTCGAAGAAAGTTACGGCCTGATGGAGGCCACCATCTCCATGGTAGAAATAAGTGATGAGGAAGAGAGGCAGCCTGGCTACCGCGTCGAAAAAGCGTGAGATAGGTGCTCCATGTGAATCGTGTCCGAGTCGTGATCTGGTTTTGCTGATTCGTAGAACGAAGAATACAAATAATACGACGTGGCGCCATTTTGCTTCTCATGGAATTTCTGTACGAAACGGGAGTTTTCTTCTTTCTACGTGACAGGAATGGGAGTGGTCACACTCTCACCTGAATTCAAGTGTGCTCATGCTTGTGGAACTGTTGTTCTGTTGTCGGTCTCCAGGGGGGCATATACTGTGTCGTGTGCACTGAAGTCATACTACGTGTTGAGGAAGATCACCGAACGGACCACCTACTCGTCAGCATATGCCACCGGGCCCTGCCACTGTAGCTTCGACTTCACAGCTGCTTGGTTCATTCGTAGCTCTCTGTTGGTGTTAGAGCTGTGCTTTCTTGTTGTAGTGGCTGAGGTCCGATGTGGATCTTCATGTGATTCTGCACGGCCTATTCAGGGTGGGTTGGTTTGATGATCGCCTTTGGCGAAGTCAGAGTTGTTTTTCAGAGTTTGGGATGGCGATGACACCTCTAGGGGAGAAGTGATGGTGATGACGCGCCAGGTGTGGTCTTGACGAGGCCCTCTTGAGGTGAAGTTGGAGTCGTTTCTCAATAGTTTGGGATGGCAATGATGCCTCTAGGGGAGAAGTGATGGCGATGATGTCGACGTGCAGTCTTGACGAGGCCCTCTTGTGAGTGGCGCGTGTAGGTCTTTCATTGGTGTCACTCAGTAGTTTGTGATGATTTTCGCCTGGTTTTTCATTAATTAACTGGGCAGTTCTTTTCTGCTTAATTAATGAATGAGCCAAATCTTTTGCCTCCGTTTAAAAAAAAATTTAGGGCCTCTTTGATTCGCAGGATTGTCAAAATGAAGGAATAGGAAAAATGCAGGAATAGGATGACATGTCCCATAGTATCCTACGGGATCTCAAAGAATGTTTGATAGCGCAGGAAAAACAAAGGAATCCTACAAAGAGGTTTGAGTGGATGAAAATTTTCCTCCAAAATGTAGTACAAATGGATCCTATGGAAAAATTCCTAAGAATGCCAATCCTACGAATCAAACGAGCATCACAGGAAAAATTCCTAAGGATTCAAATCCTCCAAAAATCCTATGCAATTCCTTTGAATCAAAGAAGCCCTTACGTGTTGAGAAAATCAGACTACTTCCTCCGTTTTATAATATAAAAGCGTTTTTGACATTAGTGTATGTTAATCTATAGTGTATTGACAGCATACACATATGTATTTAAAATGACATAAAAGCTGCAAACCCAACAAAAAAAAGATAAGGTCTCAAATTTGTTAAAACCAAATGTACACCCAACACATCTGTGTAGTAAAGCTCGCAGCCCTTTGTAAGGTGCATATGTATGACACGAGTGACACGGTTGGGGTCTCCACTCCGAGCCTTTTCCAAAAGGAGCCACCATGTTTGAAAGCTGCGCAGGTTGTCAGCCACATAATACAGTCTCGTCTCCGGTTGGAAGGCGGCGGCATTCCCTTGAATTAGCTCCGGCACGGCGCCAACTCGATCACGAACGTCGACCGTGTTTCTCGACTCGGCCATCACCCGCAGGTACGTGCTTCCGTTCGGGATTCACTTATGTCCCCTTCCTCCCCTATACATGTTCTTCTTCTAGTACTAGTTTATTAAGAGCATCTACAACCGATCTCTCAAACCCACCTCTTAGACCTTCCATTATGTAGGCCAAAAGAGGTGCCAAATTAACTTCTGCCTCCGATAGCCGGTGCCCTCACGTTGTGAGGCCGGTGCCCCAACAAAATTTTCATGGCATCGGAGCAAGTAAGAACACGATGCCCAATTCCTCCAGCCAATAAAATACTATTAACTCTCAACTTTGAACAGCAAATGTCTTCTCTCTCTTTGCTCAATACACAGCAGCGTGGTGTACTTGTTTATCATATGGGTCCCAAAATCTTTTTCCTGCCGAAGCCCTACGTTGTGAGATCGATGCCTGAAAAGCAATTTTGGGCACCGGTGATGAGGTGGCTGCCTTTTGATGTATTTGGCACCGGCTACGCTGTGGAAGGCCTTACATACCGCCGGTCATTGTTCGGTCACGATTTTTTAACCCAGACGGGCGTCTTAAATAAGTGATGAGGAAGAGAGGCAGCCTGGCTACCGCGTCGAAAAAGCGTGAGATAGGTGCTCCATGTGAATCGTGTCCGAGTCGTGATCTGGTTTTGCTGATTCGTAGAACGAAGAATACAAATAATACGACGTGGCGCCATTTTGCTTCTCATGGAATTTCTGTACGAAACGGGAGTTTTCTTCTTTCTACGTGACAGGAATGGGAGTGGTCACACTCTCACCTGAATTCAAGTGTGCTCATGCTTGTGGAACTGTTGTTCTGTTGTCGGTCTCCAGGGGGGCATATATTGTGTCGTGTGCACTGAAGTCATACTACGTGTTGAGGAAGATCACCGAACGGACCACCTACTCGTCAGCATATGCCACCGGGCCCTGCCACTGTAGCTTCGACTTCACAGCTGCTTGGTTCATTCGTAGCTCTCTGTTGGTGTTAGAGCTGTGCTTTCTTGTTGTAGTGGCTGAGGTCCGATGTGGATCTTCATGTGATTCCGCACGACCTATTCAGGGTGGGTTGGTTTGATGATCGCCTTTGGCGAAGTCAGAGTTGTTTTTCAGAGTTTGGGATGGCGATGACACCTCTAGGGGAGAAGTGATGGTGATGACGCTCGAGGTGCGGTCTTGACGAGGCCCTCTTGAGGTGAAGTTGGAGTCGTTTCTCATAGTTTGGGATGGCAATGATGCCTCTAGGGGAGAAGTGATGGCGATGATGTCGACGTGCAGTCTTGACGAGGCCCTCTTGTGAGTGGCGCGTGTAGGTCTTTCATTGGTGTCACTCAGTAGTTTGTGATGATTTTCGCCTGGTTTTTCATTAATTAACAGGGCAGTTCTTTTCTGCTTAATTAATGAATGAGCCAAATCTTTTGCCTCCGTTTAAAAAAAATTTAGGGCCTCTTTGATTCGCAGGATTGTCAAAATGAAGGAATAGGAAAAATACAGGAATAGGATGACATGTCCCATAGTATCCTACAGGATCTCAAAGAATGTTTGATAGCGCAGGAAAAACAAAGGAATCCTACAAAGAGGTTTGAGTGGATGCAAATTTTCCTCCAAAATGTAGTACAAATGGATCCTATGGAAAAATTCCTAAGGATGCCAATCCTACGAATCAAACGAGCATCACAGGAAAAATTCCTAAGGATTCAAATCCTCCAAAAATCCTATGCAATTCCTTTGAATCAAAGAAGCCCTTACGTGTTGAGAAAATCAGACTACTCCCTCCGTTTTATAATATAAAAGCGTTTTTGACACTAGTGTATGTTAATCTATAGTGTATTGACAGCATACACATATGTATTTAAAATGACATAAAAGCTGCAAACCCAACAAAAAAAAGATAAGGTCTCAAATTTGTTAAAACCAAATGTACACCCAACACATCTGTGTAGTAAAGCTCGCAGCCCTTTGTAAGGTGCATATGTATGACACGAGTGACACGGTTGGGGTCTCCACTCCGAGCCTTTTCCAAAAGGAGCCACCATGTTTGAAAGCTGCGCAGGTTGTCAGCCACATAATACAGTCTCGTCTCCGGTTGGAAGGCGGCGGCATTCCCTTGAATTAGCTCCGGCACGGCGCCAACTCGATCACGAACGTCGACCGTGTTTCTCGACTCGGCCATCACCCGCAGGTACGTGCTTTCGTTCGGGATTCACTTATGTCCCCTTCCTCCCCTATACATGTTCTTCTTCTAGTACTAGCTTATTAAGAGCATCTACAACCGATCTCTCAAACCCACCTCTTAGACCTTCCATTATGTAGGCCAAAAGAGGTGCCAAATTAACTTCTGGCTCCGATAGCCGGTGCCCTCACGTTGTGAGGCCGGTGCCCCAACAAAATTTTCATGGCATCGGAGCAAGTAAGAACACGATGCCCAATTCCTCCAGCCAATAAAATACTATTAACTCTCAACTTTGAACAGCGAATGTCTTCTCTCTCTTTGCTCAATACACAGCAGCGTGGTGTACTTGTTTATCATATGGGTCCCAAAATCTTTTTCCTGCCGAAGCCCTACGTTGTGAGATCGATGCCTGAAAAGCAATTTTGGGCACCGGTGATGAGGTGGCTGCCTTTTGATGTATTTGGCACCGGCTACGCTGTGGAAGGCCTTACATACCGCCGGTCATTGTTCGGTCACGATTTTTTAACCCAGACACGCGTCTTAAATAAGTGATGATGAAGAGAGGCAGCCTGGCTACAGCGTCGAAAAAGCGTGAGATAGGTGCTCCATGTGAATCGTGTCCGAGTCGTGATCTGGTTTTGCTGATTCGTAGAACAAAAATACAAATAATACGACGTGACGCCATTTTGCTTCTCATGGAATTTCTGTACGAAACGGGAGTTTTCTTCTTTCTACGTGACAGGAATGGGAGTGGTCACACTCTCACCTGAATTCAAGTGTGCTCATGCTTGTGGAACTGTTGTTCTGTTGTCGGTCTCCAGGGGGGCATATACTGTGTCGTGTGCACTGAAGTCATACTACGTGTTGAGGAAGATCACCGAACGGACCACCTACTCGTCAGCATATGCCACCGGGCCCTGCCACTGTAGCTTCGACTTCACAGCTGCTTGGTTCATTCGTAGCTCTCTGTTGGTGTTAGAGCTGTGCTTTCTTGTTGTAGTGGCTGAGGTCCGATGTGGATCTTCATGTGATTCCGCACGGCCTATTCAGGGTGGGTTGGTTTGATGATCGCCTTTGGCGAAGTCAGAGTTGTTTTTCAGAGTTTGGGATGGCGATGACACCTCTAGGGGAGAAGTGATGGTGATGACGCTCGAGGTGCGGTCTTGACGAGGCCCTCTTGAGGTGAAGTTGGAG